GGAGAAATTGAGTTATTAGTGGCATTTTGGAAAATACTATTAGAAAACATAAACTAACCATATGACTCTAATTTAATAAATTAGTGGAGTATAGTTAGTAGAATGAATGAAAAATAAAAACAACATAATTAAGAGTTTAAGTAAGGATTAATAACTTAACCAACCTAACTTGACCCATCCTAAATTGGCCTAAATGGACTCAAAAGACCCAACACCCATTAAGGCATGTCCTAAAAAAATTAGTACAACCCCTCCCCACAATACATGCACCGAAAATACTCTTAGAGAGAGGGAGAGGATTTGAAAATTCTGTTACTTTGGAGAGGCCTCCCATCTTTTGGGACCATTTCCCTACCCCAACATGTCTAGCCTCACTCTTGCTGATTCACTCTTGCTGATTCACCAAAGGAGAGCATGAAGAAAGCCAAAGTTCTCCATATGCTCTCCTTTTTATTTTATTTTTCTTCTAAAACAACAAGATGTTAGGGGGAGGGTTTTCTAAGATCTACTTGAGCCTTTTTCTTGTTTTATGATTAATTTATGCTTGTTTGTAGTCCTTTTATTAACTTATGTTGATTTGGTTGGAAAATCTGTTTTTTACATTTTATTTTTAAACTTTGATTTGTGTTTCTATCCTATGTTTTTGAGAATGGATAATGTGGTATTTAAAGCATGTAAATGATATTTTATAAGGAAATAGGATAGAATATTAACACTATACCCTTGAGTGCCTAAATCCATGAAAATTGATAAATGAAAATGGTTTTCGGACATGTATTTATATTGTTCTTGAGTCCTTACGGGTTTTAATTTTTTGAATCCCTATATGTTTATTTAAAATGATGTTATGGTGTTTTTTACGATTATATATGATAGATATATTAATAGTAAAAGTTTGATGCATTTTTGAAGTCATTTGGTCTAGTAAAAATTTCAAAAACAATGATGAAAAACACACTTTTGAAATCATATATATCCCTCTTTATTGATTTTTCCTATCCTTCAATCTAGTTAATAAAAATAAATTGGAGCTGCAAGCTTCATCGAACACCCAACTATCAATAAGACAAATGTATGGAGTATATGGTATATATCTCAATCTCAAAGTGCATAAATCAAAGATAACTAATGGTCATGTTATAACTTAACAGTTAATTAATCGAATGGACTTCTAAAGCCTTATTATAACTCACCTTTTTTTTTTCTAAAGACATATTGTGAAAAGTCCTTAATAAAAATATATGAGTAATGATATAATATAATTTTAAACTTTAACAACAAAAATAATAAAATTGAAAGGGTTATTAATAAATTTATTTGTATATATATCACTCTAAATGTTATTATCCACATTATTTAGAATTTATTATTTTATTATAATTGAAAGTTGATTCTATTTATTTAAGAAATTGAGATTTAAGTACTATTTTTAAATACTAATAATTTGGAAAAAAAAGTCTATATTAATTAAAAAATTTGTAAACTAACTAATATATTCCCAAAGTTATATTGTAAAATTTTTAGGGTATTACAACTTTTGTGATACCCTTTACCCGCATAATCACACTCATAAATACTAATGAAAGAAAAGATCTTATCATAAATAAAACTTTATTTAAAATAAAAATAAAATAGTTCATAAAAGGCCTTTAAGGATAAAAGATTGACATTTAGCTTAAAACATAACAAATTCAAAACATAAATATCTCTAAAATAATGACTTGACCCAAGTGGTCGTCTAAAAATAATAGACGAATCCAAGGACTAATATCTTTTCTAAGCAAAATGAAATAAGCCAAGTAAACAACATATCAAATCCTAAGCTATGAACTTTGATGCCACCTCTTATCAAAGCTTTATCCATAAATACGCTAAGACCTAACCCTCAATATCAGCATCATCATCATTTTGATGTTCCTCCTGCAAAACAAACATAAGAACAACAGTACAGTAAGGGGAGTTAGATACGTCTCACTTTAGCTCCTAGTGTGGGATAAGGTCGGGTAGCCACATACATAATATAGCATCCAACACGTACACTTAATATCTAGAATGTAAACAATATATCAAATTTACAATCCAACACGTACACTTAATATCTAGAATGTAAACAATATATCAAATTTACAAGTAAAAAGAAAAAGACGTATCAAACCACATAATCATGAGCAGTTATAGTTTACACACTTGATGCAATTTGACATGACTTTCTTGCAATTTAATCATCGTCCATGCCTTCAAAGGCCCAAGCATTTGCTTCACGGATTTGGGTTTCTTCCTCGGGTGTGAAATCATTGACGATGTTGAAGAATTTCCTTATGAACTCTGGGTTCTTGTTTTGGATGAGATCAGCAATGCTTTTGCACAAGAAATCAGATAGAGCCTTTATGTTGAGGTAGTTTGCAGCAAGGAGCAATTCCTTCAACTCGTCATGGCTCAATGCCTTCAAGAACCGCTCATCGAATTCCTTGAGGTTCACAGTTTTACGGTAGTGCTCCGAACAATACTCAATGATTCGATTGAGGTTGCGACTAGTGACGTTGGGGAGTGGAATAGTAATGGAGGCATCAGTGCCTTCAGCATTGATTAAAGATTGTATTGTCTGCATCTCCTTCACTATTGAAGGTTCCACCTCAAAGGTGACTCCATCTGAAGATTTTAGAATAACCTTCTTGATTTCTTCTCCCTCCACAATTTTCAGCATTTCAATCTTCAATTCTTCTCCCTCTTCGAGCATAACATTTTTCAATTTTTCTCCTTCTGGAATTTGCAATATTTTGGTTGCTAGTTCTTTTTCATCTATGGTTGTCATCATTTCCTTCCCAGATTCTTCTCCTTCTACAATTTCCAATATTTCTTTCTTCGACTCTTCTTCTCCTTCAGACATGAAAACAGAAAACTTGGTTGTTTCTGCTTCTTTTGCCATTGTTGTTATAGAGAGAGAAGAGAGAAGTTTAGACTAACAAGGGAATTTGATAAGTAATTTCAATTTGATTTTGGGGTGATCCGACAATACCTTTATAGGATGAGAAATGGGACATAGAAATATATAATATTTTAATTGGAAATATTAAAATGAATTTTAAACCTTTATATTTTAATTAAATAAATGCCACAATTAAGAATTTACAAAGCAAAAATGAACAGTTTTTCCATTCATTAAAAGGTTTACTTTTTTAATAATTTAAAATATTAATATTTGTTATTCTCTCTTGTTTGGTTAAATTGTACTTTTGGTCTCCCTATAATATCAAAATCACAATTTTCATCATTCAATTTTTAATTTCACGATTAATCCTAGAATTCTAAAAAATTTGCAATTTTTGGTCCCTTTTTTGAATTTTCATTCATTGATCGTAAAAATTGTGATATTAGTTATCATTGGGCATTAAGTAGATGACACAATAATTCTAATAATGTTTATGTTCAATTTCACTTTTAATTTTTATTTTTATATCATTAAGTGAAAAAATGAGATGAAAATGAGAACTAGAAGTGATATTTAACCTAAATGTTATTAAATATTAATTATCGTTTCATCTACCTACAGTTATGTCATGACCAATGTTATAATTTTAACCATCAATTGATACAACCAACATGGAAACTAAAATTGCAAATTTTGCTAATTTGAAAACTAAATTTAGGAATTAAAAGTTGAAAGACCAAAATTATGAAATTAATATTATAAGAGACTAAAGGATAATCTCACCCTTTTTTATTCATCAAAATCAAACTTAGAGTTTACAACAACTCACGCATGTTACTCAAGTAATTGACTTTGAATCCATTGGTTATTTTTATTCTCTTTTCTTATCATTTAAAAAAATTCATTTATTAATTTTAATTTTTTTTATTTCATTTATTACTTCTAATCATTTATTACTATTAAAAGATAATATTAATTTTTTAGATCATTTATTATTATTTAGTATTAGCAATAGTTACTTATTATTTATGATAGCATTAAAAAATTCATTTATTATTTTCTTTCTTTTCATTAATTATTTTTTTAAAAAATCATTTATCTTTAAATTTATTTAGATGATAGTTATCTTTTTATCATCATATGATACTACTTTTGTTCCTAATTATAAGATTCTTTTAACTAAATAATACCCTTTAAAAAAATTAGTTAATTCAGTTAAAAGTATTAAATTTTTCAATAATTTCAACTAATTAATACCTTTTTTTCTGTAACACCCTGAATTTCATATCTTATAATAAATAATATTTTAGAAATTATTTTCACGTTTAATGTATTTATTTTAGAGTTTTGAATATTATTTAATTAGTGATATGAGCTCTATTTTAATTATGTGACACGATTTGTAATTATATTTTGTTTAATTAGTGGAGCATGAGTTATTTATATGAAATGTATTTTATTATTAATAATTATGTTTAAGTTATCTTATAAAAGAGAGAAGATATGTTTAATATTAATATTATTATTATTATTTTTATTATTTTATTAATTTGAGAAAATGAAGGTTATTAGAAGTTATCTGAGTCATTCCACGCATTCACTTCTTCTTGGCTCATTTTCTTTCTACACTTTTGAAGACCAAGGAGAACCTGAAGGAGAGAATCAACCTAATTCCGCTTGTGCTTCATCTTCTATTCATCAAGGTAAGGGGGAGTGAGAAACCTCGCTCAGGAGTGTGAAAATAATTGTTGGGTAGCAGGATTGACCCCCAATCCCTTGCTTGATGCATGCTTTAGTAATAGACAAATTATAAAAGTTTTCTATTTTCATATATGAGTTTTCTGTTGGGTTTCTGGTTGGATGTGATGCATGAATATGTGTTTGATTTCGAAAATAGATAAGTTTTGATATGAATTAGAGTACTCTATGGATTCCTATGGGAAACCTTATGAGGAACAACTAGGGATATGATCTTTTGACAATATTTGAGGTATTTTATGTAAAATTGAGTATGGATTTATGTTTTAGGTTTTATTTGAAGGATTTTTACCGATTGATTTATATGATTACGTGTTTGTTGTGAAAAAATTATCTGATTGCGAAGTGTAGGTCCACACTAAGGGCGTCGGGCGCAGTTCTTCGTGTCAGGCGCAAGTTAATAGTTTCCCAGGAAAATTGAGTCGGACTCAGGAAAGCTGCGCCGGGCACAGGATAGTCACGGTGAGCACATGTGAAGCTGCACTGGGCAAAATTCTCCGCTTTAGGCATGGCATTAAATTCGTCAGGCACGCTCAAGGCACGCCGGCGTAATGCTCCACTTTTGGTGTGGTATCTAATGCACCGGGTGCGAGTTGGGGTGATGGCATCCTTGCTTGCATTGATGTGAGATGATGATCAAGGAAGGACACCTTTACTCCTTGGACCAAGTTCTTCAAAAGGTGACGCATGATTTTAGGGAGGATGATGATGGAATGGATGAATTGGAGGTTGGGTAGAAGGTGTTTGATGAAAGGCTTGAGGAGGGTACTCTACCGTTGGCTCACTTCATGGTGATGAAGGCCACTTCTAGGGTTGTTTCTCTCAAGGGGGATATGGTAAGGTGGTGGCCGAATTTAGCCAAGGGAGACTAAGGATGATATAAAGTCACAAAGGCTCTCTTTATATTCAATATCCAAAGTGATTACAAGTTGTGATGCCTAGGGTATTTATAAGTGTGGGGTGACATCACAAAACCCTAGCGAGGGTGGCGGCTAGGTCATCATTAGATGATCATTCCTTCCCTAAATGGGAAGGAAATGCATGCCAAATGACATCTAAATAAACCCTAAATGTTCCGCCCACTTTACCCTAAAAATGGTACCTTTTTGGGTTAAGCTAGGATACACCTAGGTGCATAATAGGAGAATGCAACCTAGGTTCCCTTCCACTTGGGCCAATGCTTCTCCTTAGCCCAAAAGGTCCATTTTTGTCACGCCCAAACACTTACATCACCTAGGAAATAAATCCCTAAATTCTAAGTGCCCCAAAATACAAGGGCAAAATAGGAAATACAAAGAAAATAAATTCTAAGTCCTAAACACCCCAAAATATAAGGTTAAAATTAGAATATTAAAATAACCCTATGCTAATGAGACTTAGGATAGTTTTTAATACTCTATGATCATGAAGAGGGTATCCCTTGGTGTGTGAGCTCCCTCCTCCTCTTCCTTTCTCCTAGCCATGGACCTAGTGATGGTCCCACATGAAGCTCCAAGGATAGTCCTCCATCATGGGGCACGTCGGGCGTGACCCCTGTGATGTTTTATATGTTTTATGTCTTGTTTGAAGGTGCAAAGTGTGTGGAAATCGCCTTAGTACTGTGTTAGCGTATGTGATGTGTTTTATGAGCATGATAAGGACATGAATCTCCAAATGATGATCTTATGAGTATGATTATGAGAAATGTGAAATGTGAAATTTGAACAAGTGACATGAGACATGAAATTTATTGACAAGTAAAATGCTGAGTCCATGAGTTTGTGAATGTGTGACATGCATCATATGCATTTATGAAGCGGGGTACGATATGGAGTACATCGTTAGGGAAGGCCTTCCAAGTGTGAAACATCTTGGAGGAGTCCTAAGGGATAATGCGGTTTGGAAGGCCTAGTTCTGCTCATTTGTGTGCATGGAACGTATCTTGCGCGACTTCACTATCTCGACGAGATCCTAGCAGTACATCCTTCTAGTTGAGAGTGCAAGGCTGAGTCGACATGTACTCCTAGAATACTTCAGGTATGTTGCTTCGGTAGCATACTGTGACAGCCCATTTTTCATGGGCCAAAGGCCCAATTCGTGGCCCGTTTACTTTCAAGCTTGAGACAGGTTCTAAACATCTAAGAATACATTTGATAGTTAAAACATTACCTTGAGTGACCTCTCCCACAAAAATGGTATCGTCGGCGTACTGTAGTATATTAACCTCCACCTGCCTCCCACCCACCTTATATCCAGTAAACATATTTTGTTGCACAACACTCCTCATTAGTCCCGCTAATCCCTCCGCTGCCACCACATAGAGGAAAGGAGCAAGGGGGTCCCTTTGCCTTAATCCCTTCTGAATTTGGAATTCTGTTGTCGCGCTACCATTCACCAAAATGGACACTTGGTTTGACCTAAGGCACTCCTTCATCCATCCAATCCACTTTGAACAAAAGTCGAGTCTTTGAAACATATAGAATAAGAATTCCCAGTTGATAGAGTCGTATGCCTTTTCAAAGTCTACCTTGAAGATAAAACACTTTCCTTTTCTTCTCTTCACCTCATCTACAAGTTCATTTGCAATTAAAGCACTGTGTAAAATGTTCCTCCCTTTTAGAAACGCACTTTGAGTATGATTAATAACTTCAGGTAGAATCTTCTTTAATCTGTTTGACAAAATTTTTGCTATGATCTTGTATATCACCCCAACTAGAGAAATCGGCCTAAAGTTTGAAATATCCATTGGATCCATTTTCTTTGGGATTAGTGTGATGAAAGAGGAATTAGTCCCCCTTGGGAGTTTTCCATTTTCATGGAACTCATGTATACACTTGGTAATATCTCCCTCCATACACCTCCAAAATGACTTAGTAAAATTAAAATTAAACCCGTCTGGGCCTGGGCTTTTGGATCCTTCACATTCCCAAACAACATCCTTAATCTCTTTTTCATCAAATTTGGCAATTATTAGACTCCTTTGCAATTCAAAAATTTGTTTGAAGTTCACACCATCAAGTGTTGGCCTATCCCACTTCTCATCAGTAAACCTTTGCTGAAAGTGGTTCTTCACCTCAATTTTTATTCTGCTTGGCTCTTCCACCCATTCACCATTGATATTGAGTCATGTAATATTATTCCTTTTCCTGTTCCAATTCACTACTCTATGAAAGTATTTAGTATTAGCATCACCTTCTGTCAACCAATTAAGTCTCGACCTTTGTCTCAAGATTGACTCATTATTTTGAGCAAGTCTCCAGAATTGTTATTGTAGCTCCATCTTGTGATTAATCTCCTTAGCTATC